TTCTAGCTTGCGTGAAATATATATATCCTCCAGAAGATCAGAACCAATATTTATCGAATTTCCTCATAACGACATCACTTGATGTATAACTACTTACGTGCTGTCTCGGTTTAGGTAATTGGACAACCGCCCAGTCTCAAACACTGGGGTTGTCTGCGGCACTTCGAGATCGAAGGTGTCTACTGAGACTATGCTTGGCGACAAACCTTTCTCGCGCAGGAATGCTAGAGGGGGGAGCGTTACATCCGCTCTCTCATCTGGGGATCCTAACTCGCGTCTTGAGGCGTAGGATGCGGTATCTACCCACGGACGAACCGTAGGGTGCTGGTCAAACGATTTCAGCTCGACAAGAGCCCTGTTGTCGAAGAATTCCGCCTCGAGATCGCGGTATTCATCCCTGTGATGAGCGTGTGACAGATAACCTGGAACGGACATTCTGCGCCGGAATCGAGAGGGGCGGAAAAAGCAGTCCAATACATGGGATTTCATAGTGTATACCCCTCTAGCAAACGCGTACAGGCCCCAATACGTCATAAGCCACGCGAGTACTGCTAGGCAAATATGGAGGTCGGCAAGACGACGAAGGCTGGTGTGTAATTCCTCATATTTTCCCATATCGAGTAATGCTTTAAACTCAGCTTGGCGCTCTCTTGCTTGCGAGGAAGGGCATGTGGCCATCCAAGCGGTGCCAATAGCAAAGGCGCATAAGAGTAGTTGGGTTCTGCTGTTGTCGACGTGGCGGTTGTGGTTGGATGAGGCCCTTTTGGCGAAAAGGTAGCTAGCACAACCGATGATGGCAATTCCGACGAATGAGAACAATATAGCATGCGAGACGATGCACTGGGTATTGATGACATGGGGATATTGTCGGTTGAGTTTGTCAAAGTCAAGCTCGTTGGAGACCCATTGGTAGCCAAGTAGCACAATAACCATAGCGTTCAGAAGTGCAAAGAGGACGCTCAACAGAGCCTCGGTACGGGGCATTTCGAACATGTGTCGGATGTAAAATAGCGAGCTGGCAAACACAAAGGCGGTTACCCAGAAAACCACGGGCCATAATATCAGCCACATGGTTGCGCTTCCTACTTTTGCGAGCATGTTATTACCCACCTGGGCTCTCATAAGATGGGGAAGGACCTACCAGCGATGATTGAATTGGACATATGAATCGCACCTTGCTTATGGTTTCTCTCTTTTCCTTTCGTTACTGTTGGATATCGGGGGGAGGTGCGACTCCCAGTTCCCAGTCAAGGCTCCTTTATAGAGACAGCAAGAATGAATGAGTCGACAGAACTATGCGCGAGAAGAGCTGTCGAGATCTCGGTAGAGCTGCAGTGATGGAAAGAACTGGTTTGAGCAAAGATCGAAATGATCGTTTTTGACAGAAAAGTACTCGAGGTTCAATAGGGGTAAAAGAGAAGACGGAGCGAAGGAAAGAAGAGAGAGAGACGCCGCAAATAATGAGCTCAAGACGCGAGCTTTACAATTTGAAGCATATTTTAACGTCATATTGAACAAGGTTCACACCCGTGAGAGGCGTAATAGATGTTTTGCCTTGACTATGGTTTCCAAACTGGAAACCGGTGGAGAGTAAACCTTGCCGAAAAGCATCTTTTTAAATGAATGACGACAAAAGCGTAGGCGGACGCTACTCAGGCGTTCTTTGTCCTACTTGGGAGTATAGATGCCAGAGAAATGTCCATTTCGGGACCGCGTGATGTAGAGAGTGATTGGTAATAATATTGTAGGGACACATTGTAACAGCAACGTATCATCACCAAGCATATCATGGTGGTTCTCATCACATATCGTGATTGCCCACAGTGAAGAAACCGGGCTGCAATATCCCATATAAGTCAATCCTTGCAAGGGACGGGGGAAATTTTGGAGGGAGAGTGTTTGCTGACTAACCCATTTGGACCTTATATCATGATCAAAAGAAAAGGAAGAAAGATACAAAATAAACAGACTGGTTAGTGATAAATCATATATAACCTGATTCCAGAAGAATGAAACTAGCATAATAATCTGATAGCACCCCTCCCCTCCCAATTCCCCCCCAAAAGTTTTGGTACCCTGAATAATGCAATGCAATACACGATAACTGACATATCAAACTCAGTAATGAAAAGTTGAAAAGAGTGCATATCTTCCGGCATTTTTGAAAGAGAGACATGATTATATAAGGAAGAAGTGCATGTATTCCCCCATATTTCAGAAAAGAGGAATACCCAAACAGAATAAATTGGTAGGGAGGATAAAATAGGTAGGCATGGATAGGAGAGCAGTGTACGTTGAAGATGAATGCATTAAAACGATGCCAATAAGAAGTCCCTATCGGTCAAATAGAGAAATGTACAAAAATCTATTGTTTGATGGCAGGAACAGCAAGTTGGTATGGAGTTGAGGGAATAGTCCTAGGGCTAGATAAAAGCGTGCTCTGTGCCTTTCTCTGCTCCGCCCATCTGACGCCGTCTCTGACTCAAGAATATATCCACCATGCGTTTGCTACTAATTGTCGAATGAATATCTCCTAACTCTGGCAAGTTGCTCTTAGTAGGTACTCTGCCCCCCCTTAAGTTCTCATTGGTCACTCGGGCATTGTCTCTCCTGTTGCGAACAGAGCTAAAATTGACTGTTGGTGACAATTTTCTAGGATCGCTGAGTCGCCTGGTCGGGCTATCTTTCCCACTGTGATTGCGGAGCGAAATAGTGCTCTGGATAGCTTTTGGGAGTCTCGTGGGTGTAACTGGCAATGTGGCAAGGTCCAGGCATTCGGGCTTCTCATAAGCCAATAGAGAGGCGCTTGGACTTCTTGACGCATTTCTCGGAAGCACAGCGTCGGTTGGAGTAGACCTCTCAGGATCGACGTCGGGGGCTATATGAAGACTATGGGCGGATTCCGATCTGGCGACAACAAATGGTTTTTGAACGGCTGGGCGAGAAATGGAGATGGGTATATCAGGAGATAGGCGGAGAGGCCGTGAAAAATTATTTTGTGTAAATGACTTTAATTCTACTAGCGGCTGCCTTTGGTCAACATCAAGGGATGGTGGTCCTTCAGGTGGCTCTGCAGTAATATATTCATTTGTTTGGGGCATGGTGTACGATGCTTCAGGGTTTCCATCCTTCAACTCGCCATGAATTTCCGTCATTTCCCGGTAATGAGTGTTAGGGGACTTAACATATTGGATCTTTGCATAGTTCTCAGGGGTAGCATCCAAAAGGTCCATTTGAGAGCTCATCCATGATTTCCACTCGGCGCTACCCCTGATTTTGCTGTCGCTACAGGTATAGCCTCCGGCATCATTTGGCTTATATGGTAGTCTCTCACTGGCAAGGATAGTAACCGTACCTCGTTCATCGCTAGATTCCGAAAAACTCAAGTCTCTCCTGCTTCCAAAATGTCTTGGTGTATCCCCGCTGGTCGTCCTTGAATACACACTTGGAGAGACACAAGATCGCGCAATATCACCCGGCCGTGATACGATCACACTTTCGATGTCATCGTCTGAGTTTATCGCGTGTTCATAGGAGGAAAATCGGGGCGGGACTAGCGGGTTCGGAATTTCGGATCGCTTTTGCCGGCTAGGTTGACAGAGTGACGATTTTGACCGCTGGAGCGATTCGACTGAACGATAGCGACTCATGTTTTCGTTATGCTGAGCAATTTCTTGGGGGGTAATAGCAAATGCCTCTCTACGGTAGCTCGAGCCTACCGATATCTGGCTTCGTGAACTTGGAGATAGGCCCCGCGCTGGAGGTATCGGCCTGATAGTTCGCATAGACGCCTCGCTAGGTATATGCCGAATGGTGTTTGTTGGGCGATGTGAGTATATTGACGATGAGGCTATATATCGATCCCCGACAAGTCCTGCTCTAGATCCTGTCGCCTCATCTGGCGGCGGGAACTCGTCAATATGTCTCACTAAAGCAGAGTACACCCGCTGGCTGTCCACTGCATCAAAAGCATTATTACCGCTGCGTCCCGGATGCAAAGGCTTCCGGAAGACTGAGTATCCATCATTGTAATGGAAAGACAGCCGGGAAGGGGTGGAATCAGGTGGGACGCCGTTCTCTTGAATAATGGAAAGTCTATTTCTCTCCGATACAGCATCTCTTGTAGCCGTAATGTTGGTAGCGGTCGAATCTGTCCAACTGGTTGCGCGGGAGCTTAAGGTGGCAAAACTGTCCGAGCTCTTCATCGTCCTGATACTAGCTGGTCGATTGCCAATGCTCGCCGGTCCTGTATGGTGGTTAGAATTCTTCAATAGCCAAGTACAGCGGATTCCGGGGGTTAAAACTTACCTCCAGATTCTGAACTGATATAATCACTAAATCCTAATGCATGCTTGCGCTGCACCGTGGGTGCACATCTTTCCTCTTGTGCCATCGAGCGTCCAAATATCCTCCTTAGGCCATTCTTGATCGACAATGAGAAGATCCTTGACGTTGAGTTTCGAAGGGTCTTACTTGGGTAAATTACACTGGGTTTTATAGGCTGAGGAGGAGCGACTGGAATTTCGTTTTCAGCATCCCATCCGCTAGAAGATCTAAGAGATTTTCTAAAGGGCCTTGATTGGTGCCGTCCTCTCCCACTAAGAATAGATGCCGACCCATCATTTCGCTTTGACTGCTGTAACTCCTGTAGATATTGCTCACGGGCTAACTGGATTGCTGCGTTCTGGCTATCTGTCCGCTTTTCGCCATCTGGCTTCTGGGCTATTTCCGCGGCAAAGAAAGACTTCGATCGTCGCAGTGTGGCTCGGGAAAGATGGCCCATTTCGGGGTTATCTGAGCAAGTAGAGGATCTAAACGGTGAATAGGACGAATCTGACGACTTCATCGCACGCTTCCGGGTTGAGAACATTGATTTAGCTTTACGGAGTTTCCGATAGGATGATGGCGCTGAAGCAATGCTATCTCCAATTCCAGACAACTCGTTTATGTTCGGGGTTAGCTCGTCAGCCGCAGCATGGAATGCGGAATCGTTTCTGGCAGTTCCATTGCTGCATGGAGAAGCTATAGAGCTTGGGCATTGAATCAAATGTCGTTCGTTCTGAGCACCAATAGTATCACGATCACTAGGGGTGAAACGGACACTGCGGGCTTTGGAAGAACGAAATGAAAACCCGTCCGCTTCGCTGCGGCCACCGTGTGACTCACTGCAAGACCCTCTTAAATCCAAAGAACTTCGTTGGTTGGAGCGCTGCATGGCAATTGACGCAGCAGCCATTGCATGGTAGTGGACGGCCTGAGGGTTTATAAGTTCTGGGATGGGAGGAATATGACGGCGCGACTTAATAGATGAAGTAGATTTGGATCTCTTCAGAGGGTTAACAGCACTGCTGGATGCTCTGGATCTTGAAACCATACTCGATTGAAGATAGATATGAAATTTTGTTGTGCTTATACTATCTCTGTTTGTGCTGAGTCTAAAACCTGTATCACGATTGGGAAATAGAATTATGATGAAAGGAATATGCTTCTCAACAAAAAACAAACTCGAAGCACAGTGTTGTCTCGATTTCATGTTCGAGGCTTTGACGCATTTTTGGCAACCTCAGGCGAGGAGCAGGAAAGCACAGTCTCTGACAGCGAGTAGCCATTTCCCTCCAAGGATCATGGGCTGCAGTCAATACATGTAAAACTGGCCGGACAAGCGTTTGTCTGCAGTGATAGCAGCAGAGGCCGTTGAATCGCCCAGGCTTCATCATCCAGGTCCGGTGAGATTGCATCAACGCGTCTATCCGTCTCGTTCAGCTCTCTCATATAATACGCCCGGAGTTGGAGGTAAACAACCAAGCGTTTGGTAGGACAATATACACCTAGATAATCCATCATGTACAGGCAAGCAGCCAACAGAACTAAAACACGTTAGATCGGGTTGTTATCGAGCTTTTCGCGGAAGTTTGATGGATGGTGATATAAATATGTGATCCAACCTTGGAATGCTGATCGGCACACGTGATCATTTTCAAACTCCTAACATCTCAAGTCTGGAAGCCTTTGGCAACAGCTTACGGAATAATTACAAAGGAGACTTGTACAGGATTACACAGTGCCAGCCTTGATACTACTGAGAGCAGCTAAATACCACTGCTGTTCTTGTCCCGGAACTCTAAGGAGTCGGACTTGAATCGATAATAGTTATATTGGCATTCACTCCCCCATATCTTGCCTGTTATGGATCCCCCAACTTGTGTGCTCCCACCGAGTTTCCACGCATTGAATACTTGGATTAACGGGATCAATCGCTGGCTTCTCCTGCATCCTGCATTGAGTTGCCTTTATTAAATTTGAAGCGTTAAACTCTAGATGGAAAATTCTACTAATTCTCCTCTCCTCCCACGTCCTCCCCCCTCCCCCGGCCTGGCAATAGGACTAGTATTTGCAACCAAAAGAAGCAAATACTGGACTGACAGTACTCGTCTGGGTTGGCTTCAAGTTGTTTCGTCGAATAAGAACGGACAGCAACGGCAAATAGATTCCCAGTACCGCATGATATCCACACCTGACATCAAGACAGGAAATCGCTATTATTCAGGGTACATACTCTTTTAATTCCCAGTTCAATAGGCTGAGTAGTGATCCGGCGTTCCCTCACATGCATAAAACGATGGGCGGGGAATCTCAGGATACTATGACGACATTTCCAACCAACATCTTTGCCCAAGGCCAATAGCTCTTTTCTCACCATACAATCAGCGGAACGTTGGAGCGGAATTGGGCATCCATGCAGCAGAGCATGGGTCATGCCTAGGGATGCGGCAAAATGGAAGTCATTCTGACAGGGTAATTCATCTAATCTGGGATAAAGTTTGAGTGCAAGATACAAATAAGATACTGTCGGAACTAGATAATGTCCGAATATTGACCCAAATACTGAATATCAAAATAGAAAATAGAATATTGAATTGATTATTATAACTCCGATAATTACATGATAAGTAGGCAGTATTTATAAGGAAGGATATGCTTGATTATACAAGTGGGGCAGTGCTGAGAGTCAGCAAGGCAGTTTACAAAGCGGCGAAGCAAAACAGTCAACAAGGCAGATTATAGCATGATGTCATCTCTGATCCTTGATATACGAGATATCAGCTCCGACAGATACTCATAATAAGTCACCGAGAAGCTAAAAACCTGGCGAATTAAAGTCACGCTGCGAACGATCCCAGACTTACCAAAGCCGCCAGATGTACCGTATTTCACAGTGGAGGAAATCTGAATCGTTCCACAGATTGCTGAAGTGCGCGACAATCAAACTTCGGCAGAATCCTTGTTGAACACACTCGTTTTTTTATTGTCCGATAACCCCGCCGACTTTTTCTCACTCCTCGTTTGGATCCCAACTACCCCTCCTTCCTCCGTGTCATATGGAGGTGACAACTAAACAGGTCATAGACTCTGACGCCATCATGCATATTCGACAACTATCACCCCGCCGCGGGGTGAAAGACGGGTAGAGAAGGTTCTGCCGCTGGTAGTCCGCTGCGGATAGCCGTTGCAAATTTCATAGCCACAAGAAGTAAGATAAACAATGCCAACCAACATTTAGCATATATCAATATATAAATTCTTATTAACCGAAAATTACTTAATTAGTTTAATCGTTTTAACTTATTACAGCAAATAAATCAAAATATCGTAAAGTATGAAGTTTGCCCTTCCCGTCCCGTCCCGAGAAACCGAACCAAATTCCTGGTTTTTCCCTTTCCTTTCCTTTTTTTTTTTTCTTTTTTTCTTTTTTTAATCAAAATTTTTTTCATTATTATGTGATCACTTCTCCCATCATCAGTGTTACGTGTTTGTTTGATATTACTATTTTTATCATGAAATCACCCCCAACGCAACTCCAGACGCATTGCATGAATGGTGAGAGAATCATGACCAGCCGCAGCGACGCGTGTGTAGCGCATACGTATGCACAGAAAGATCCGATCAAGCAGGAGGACGAATATATTTACAATGCTCAAATGAGAGTCCAGTAGGGATTTCGCTGACTGAACGGAGGCCGCTTCATTGACGAGAGATCATAATTCTTTTGCTTTTGAAAACCTCATACCAATGAGAAAGTGGATTCTTGGTTTGCGAGTTACGCGTGTTGAACATACGTACTGCTCGGGAATTTTTGACAAGGGAGAGAGAGGGGTGGGGGATTGTGTACTCGTATGCTGCTATCCCCAGCAGTGGATCTTATCAGGGGCAGTCAAACAACTGAGAAGTGAAGATTCATTTTTGTGTGGGTGTTCCTTGGCGTCTATAGAGTAGAAATGTCGGTGTATTATATTAGAAGCTTAACTAAGGGGGAAATAACGAACTCTGAAGGGAAACTAACAGATAATGTAGTGCCTTTTTGGGGCTTTTTTTCCCCCCCTATTCTATTTTTGGAGAGGTGGTGTTTGAAATTGAGAAGAATTGTCATTGTCACCAACTGTGACTATAAGAAGTTATATTCAGGGCAAGCAGGAAAAGATTTTTCGCTTTGCTTTCATCTGTTCCGCTTTTACTTCGGGTTCTCGGGAATCCTAAGTTGCAGAAATATGTATCGCAGTATACGATGCGGACTGTGATCGTATTTCAATCTAGAATGAACAATATATTGGAGTTTGCCTGGGATATGCGCGCCAGTGCAGTGGGGGCTCTTCATATTGGTAGATTTAAGGTAAAAGGCAAACTCCAAGCGATAAAACACAAAAGATGGGCTGGAAAATATCTAGCTCGTAAGATAAATCATCCCATCCATAGAGGAAAGATTGTCATGAAAACGGGACTCCGCGCGATTTTGCTAACACGAGCATCTCCATCATGGTCGACGAGTCCAGATCTTGGTGGAACTTGCTAGAGTACGGTGAATGAGACCGTATGTGCCGGTGGCGCAGCTTTCAAAGAGACTTTGATGATGAAGACGGGAGCCAGGTCGAGAGGTTCGTCTGACGCAATAATATGGTGGAATTGGGGATGCTGCCCTGTCTAAGATCGAACATGGTCGGCAAAAGAACCAGACCAGCCGTGACCACCGAGTTCATATGGGGCACGAGCCATAAGGTTCGCTTGAATGGCTGAATTCAAAATTTATGCTTGACATATCTCTTGGTACGTCAGATCTTTTCGTATGTTTTGCTCTAGTGCTGGCTTGAAGGAATCTTTGCCGAACTTTGAACTTTGAACAGCGAAGGAAATTGGGCAGCCAAGGAATATCTAGAACAATGTCCTCAAAACAAAGTAGAAAAGGGGATTGGCATGGCTATTTCTCATGCTAATTGTGTATATGGATGCCTGAATGTTGAGTGGATTATTCCATTCTCAAATTGCTTGTCAGAACATGGGTGGCAGAACCATGGGCTTCCTTGGCGTGTTCTAGCACTTCTTTTAGAGCTCCACTCAATGACGTCGATGGCTAATTAGAGCGACTCACTCTTTATTGTCCCTCCATAAGCTTCCTTGCTGGGTCAAATATGCAGCGCTTGGATAATTGGAATGATTATTTTTGTCCAGAAAACCCAGAAGGCGAAAACCCACTTTGCCACAATTACAGCAGGTTAAACTGACAAGATTTTTGGTGTCTGGTTACACCATGGCTGGAACAATTTGCAGTGGTAGTTAGCTGTCGCAAATTTGGCATAAACAAAATAAATATAAAAGTCCTTTGGCATTTTTCGTCAATCACAGACAGCGGAACTAGATGAGATCTTCTCGATCTTCTCAAGGTAAGTGAGAAGAATGCTTAGTAGGTATTTCCGGTATTGTATTGCTGGCCCCAGTGCATTTAGGCATTCAAAGGCGTAACATTACTTTCCTGAAGAGACAAAGGCTGGCTGAGGTTCTGGTCGCTTCGAATGGAATTCATCGTTGGGCTTTGTAGTTCAGATCGAGCACGGCATTTGTCGGGCACGTGGCCGGTGGCCACCCCGACGTTCCCTGGCACCATCGTCGTTGTCATTCCCGCCTTTAGCTAGCTTGTATCGTCAACGGCGGTCGTATTCCTTCTCCTGCTGCGATATGGACTCGATTTTGAGACAAAAATAACCAACAAGGAGGCTAACGATGGTTAGGCAGACAGGCTTCTCGTAAATTTGAGCGCGTTTCTTATCCCCAGCCTGCTCCAATCACCCTTTCCCCCGAGGAGGCCTGCTTTGTCTCTCATCTGTTGTTAATGCAGGCGATGTCACCCGCAACTGTGCCCGGAAATCTCCACGGGTCTCAGTTGGGTAGCGGTGATGGTCACATGGT